ATGGCACTTTCCCGTCGATCCACCAATTGTCGTCTGATTTCAATATCATTGTGACCCCACACTACTATAATTCTCTTCCAAAATCATCACGCACCAAAATTCCTCAAACATTACTCTCGTTGACCCCATCAATCACCGGCAATCGAGCGATTAGGATTTGTATAGCCACCAATCCCAAGTCAAATTCTAACCAATCATGACCACAAAAATCTAACATTCCACCACCCAAAAACTCAACGGTCTTCTCTCTTTAAAAGCCTCAAAAGAATGAACCAAGTTTGCTCCCTATTTGCCGCGCGAATTGAAAAGTGTATTTTTTTTAGATGAGAAAATGGTAGTTTAAAAGTCTATGGATAAGAAAGTGTTATTAAACCATTATTTGAGTGGAAAAAAGTCGTTAACTCTATTTTTATGTCTATTGAGATAATACATGAGTATTTCCCAAAATAGAATTCAAAAGAAGCCCTATTTTACATGGTTGGCCATTTGAATGATTCATTAGTGTTTTTATTTTTATTTTTATTTTTCCATAATAAAACAAGAGCTACTATTCAACTGCCCTTAAAGAAAAATGATTTGATCCCAAATCGACCAATCAGTGCGGGCTTATTCATCCGGCCATGCACTCATGGGAATCCATTCTCTGAAAGATCTTGGCTTCCGTGCTTTGGTAGGTCCTTTTGATGACCTCTGTTATATAAAAGAAATATCTATGAGAAAATTAGGATTGAAATGTAATAAATATAAAAATCTCATCTTCTCCAAGCCAATGTCACTGTCAAAATTCTTGGCTAATAAAACACAGCTACATGGGCAACTGTCACAATTCACAATCCAGCATCAATTCTGACGGCTCTGATGAAGGTGATAATCGCAATTGCCCTAACTTAAGATACTCGCCTTCCACACTTACTATTTTATCACTTATCCATCCCTTCAAAAATTNTAAAAAAAAACCTCGTAAATTGGAGAATATCTAATAGTTTTAAAAAATTGATAAGATATTTGAGATTAAGACTTAACAATCTCGGTTAAATTAACCTTAAACAATAAATAAAAATGTTTGAAAACTAATTTAAAAAAAAAAAAAAAAAAATTTCAATAATGGAAACAAAAACAAATAAGTTGTCATTTATCAGTGTCATACCCTCACCACTCACCACAAACAAAAATGGTAGCTGAAATGCAATAATATATAAAAATCTCATCTTCTCCAAGCCAATTTCACCATCAAAATTCTTGGCTACATGGGCAACTGTCACAATTCACAATTCTGAGGCTCATATGAAGGTGATGATGGCAGTTGCCCCCGACACCAAATAACTCTTGGAGTAACATACTTGCCTTCCACACTTGTCCATCCCTTTAAAAAATTTATATTTTCTTCTTATTTTTATGACTTTTTCCCACTCAAATAATAGCTTAATGACGTTTTTTCATTCTTAAACTTTTAAAATACCACTTTTTCACAAAAAAAAAATACGTTTAATGACACTTTCCCGTTGACCTACCAATCACTGTCTGATTCCAATATCATTGCAACTCTATACCACTATCATTTTCTTTCACAATCATCACTCACCAAAATTCTTCAAACCTTTTTCTTGTCGACCCGTCAATCATCAACAATCGAGTGATTAAGGTTTATATAGCCGCCCATCCCAAGTCAAATTCTGATCAATCACAACCACCAAAATCCAACCTTCCATCACCAAAAGATTCATTGGTCTCCTCTCTTCAAAAGCCCCAAAAGAATGGGCCAAGTTTGCTCTCCGTTTGTCGCCAAATTGAAAAATGTATTTTTTTAAGCGAGAAAATGGTGGTTTAAAAGTCTGTAGATGAGAAAGTGTCAGTAAACCATTATTTGGATGGGAAAAAGTTGTTAACTCTAATTTTTTATGTCTATTGAGATAATACATGAGCATTTCCCAAAATAGAATTCAAAAGAAGCCCAATTTTACATGGTTAAGGTTGACCATTTGAATGATTCATTTTTATTTTTATTTTTCTATAATAAACCAAGAGCTACTATTCAACTACCCTTATTCATCCGGCTATGCACTCATGGGAATCCATTCTCTGAAAGAGCTTGGCTTTCGTGCTTTGATCGGTCTTTAAAATCCTTTTGATGACCTCTATTATATAAGAAATATCTATACGAAAATTAGGATTGAAATGTAATAAATATAAAAATCTCATCTTCTCCAAGCCAATGTCACTATCAAAATTCTTGGCTAATAAAACACAGCTACATGGGCAACTGTCACAATTCACAATCCAGCATCAATTCTGACGGCTCTGATGAAGGTGATAATCGCAATTGCCCTAACTTAAGATACTCGCCTTCCACACTTACTATTTTATCACTTATCCATCCCTTCAAAAATTTTATTTTCTACTTATTTTTATGTCTATTGAATATTGATATGAATAAGGGGTGTATACAAATCGAGCCAAGCCGAACACCAACAAGTTTGAGCTCCATTCGTACAAAATTTGTAAAGCTCAAGCTCGACAAACTCTGGAAGCCAAGCTTGAGCTCGAGCTTAGCTTGTTTATGAGTCAAGCATTGTTCGAGCTTGAGCTTAGGCTTGAATTTGAGCTCATGAAGGGATGCTGAGCTCGAATAGCTAGACTCGTTTATGAGTTGAACATTGTTCGAGCTCAAGCTTAGGCTCGAATTCACGTGTGCTTACTAGGGACTTTTGTCGAGAACTACTTGTAAAAAAAAAAAAAATATATCCTTTTGATAACCTATGCTATATAAGAAATATCTATATGGTCAAATTAAAACCCACAATAGAAAATTAGAAATGAAACAGGGGAAGGAAGAGATGCTAAAAACATGCTATTAATTCAATTCATTATTCCTACCTTTCTTGAAAAAAACACTTATATTTTAAATTAAACTAATATAAAAACATTTTATATTTGTACTTTTTAGAAGCACTTTTAAAAATACCCAATGACATTGCCAAACACAATGGCTGCGTTTGGTTGAAAATTTGGGGGTTTTGGGAAAAGTTTTTTGAAAAAAGTTAAAAAAAAGTTGAATTGGGCGGGTATTACGAGGTAAAATTTATAAATTAATAAAATCTCCTTTATGTTTGTTTTTTTACAAAATACCCCCTATAATAAAACATTAAAAGTTAACAAAAATACCCCTAACCCACCCTCAAACACCCCCAGCCGGAGACACCCCGGAGGTGGCCGGAGGCCGTATGGGCGCATGACCGGTTGGATCTTGCCGGTCATGCGTCGCATGGCCTTTTCGGCCAGATCCACGGTGGATCTGCCGGAAAAGGCCAGATTACGGTCAGATCTGGCCGTCAACGGCAGATCTGGCCGTATTACTCTCAACGACGGCCAACAAACGGTCGTCGTTGATGGTCAAAGACGACCGTTTGTTGGCCGTCGTGACCGAGTGTTACGGCCAAAGATCTGGCCGTAACGGCAGATCTTGGCCTTAGATCTGGCCTTTCGGCAGATCCACGTGGATCTGGGGAAAAGGTAGATCGGCGCACTGCGGCCAGATTCAGCCGGTATGGCGCCATTCTACCAGATTTCGGCCATTTTCCGGTGGTGGTGGCGGGAATCTGGTAAATTTGGATTATTGGGTGTTTTTGTAATTTAAAAAAAAATATTAGGGGATTAATTAAATTATCAAATTTAAAGGGTTTAAAAAAAGTTGAATAATTTTGGGAGTAGTATTCCAAAAATCTGAAATTTGGATAATTTACTGTTTAACTTTTTTGGGAATACTAAAAGTAGTATTCAACAAGTTTACCAAACGCAGCCACGTATTATAAGAAGTTGACTGACAATCCATTAATAGAGTTCCCGAAAGCAGACGAAAAATTCAAACTGAACCTGTGGAAGACCATTCAAAAGCAGTATTATAAATTTCTCCCAAGAAATCAGCCAAAAAGTTGAAACACAAAGCAAAAATGATTTCTGGGTATGAATATTCACTATACCTAGGTCCCATGAAAGCAAACAATAAAACCATTCATGAACTGTTGTAATTTATAAAGAAATTGGAGGGGGGAGTCCAGGTTTCATTAAAATTGATTTGACAATTGTTGTCAAATAAGCCTGGGAGGGGGTGACCTACGTTTAATCTTACCAAATAAATCAATAGCTTTTGGAATTAGAGATCATTTGTCTCAAAATCAATCATTAAATGTCTGGTCGTGAATTGAGAGAACTATTCTTGTTATTTTTTGAAGGGAAACTTTTCGATTAGTTAACCATCATTATTGATGCAATAATCAATTAAGACTCTTTAAATGTATTATTTAATAAGTCTTAAATTGATTTATGAGTATAATAGAGGTGATTATTGAAAAGATTGACCTGATTGTCAACTTCAAGATCTCAAAGAATTAGGGAAGTATGTACAAACGACCGAACATCTCATAAAAAAAAAAAAAAAAAAAAACAATTAGTACCTCGGGGAAACTTTTTTTTTTTTTAATTACAAGAAGTTGGTTCACATCCATCATTGTATTAGAAGCTAATTTTTTTTTTTTTTTTTTTTTATGATCAAAGCTGTCTGAACTAGCTTACACGCACCTCAACTAATCCTCTAAGACAATCAAATTAACGATCAAAAAATCCTCCAATGACCATCTCTATTAATAACCGAGAAGAATCAAACTCAAAACTTATTAACTAATACACCCATGAATCCTTATTCGACCACCTAGGATGATTTATTTGGAAGCTAATTCTAAACACATTATTTTAGAAGTTCCGCGTATCCATATATTTCAAAGGGAAAATATCAATACCAGATTTAAATAAAATAAGGGCTTTTTTTATATGCAAAAGTGCTTATGCTTTCCCATTTTATTCTATATTTATGAAAAATAAAATAAATAAATTATGAGAGCAAAACCATAAGACTTTAAACCTTACCTCAATATCCCTTGATTTGGAAATTATTTTCACCTGTTTCGTTGGAGTTTGATTCATATGGTCTATTGTGAATCTATTGCTGTACCTGTATTACAAAGAATCTGATTTATCAATTACCAAAACCTTTTCCTCTCAAAACACAAACGCAGCTTAACCATATTTCAGACTTCTTCCTTTTCTTCAAATGGTTTTACAGCCTAACTTGATCTTAGCGAAAAGATCGAGAAATGTATCAAATAGTTTTTTATATAAATGTCTTAAAACTAATTAAACTTTCTCAAGCTTCAGGATCTCTGAGCAAATAATTCAAAGGTAATTATATCATTCATGGATGCAGCAGACTTTCCGGCACCTAAGACCGGAACAAGGTTAAAAATAGGCTCCCCATCAATTTTAACCCTCTGCTCGACTTCAGCGAGTTGATTGAATGCACTGGTGAAGATGGCCGACAGTGTCTCCATGGGCATGTCAAGGGTTGTTGGGATATAGAGCCTGAGGTTCTGCGTAAACAAGCAAAGCACTTGGTGAGGATGGTTTGGGGGAAAAGAATTAGTAGAACCACAAGGAAATAGAATAATCAAAAGCTATATATCATATCTAAGAACAGTTAATTTCGTATGAAAATGCGCTGTTTTCGTTCAAGAAACTGACCATTACGTCTCCCCAAGAGAATTTGTTTTCCATGATAACTTTACTGAGAAGATAAAGGCAAAATTGTGATAGTCTTTCTATTTGTCCCTCTGTCAGAGAAGTTAGATGATCCACTTTATGATTGGCATCTCGGGCCTCGGAAAAGATCCTTGCAGCAACTTCACCAGTGATGCTTAAAAACACAGCACATATCTTTTCGCCAATAACACATTTCTGAAGGCAAGAATCATGCCAATCTGCATGCTGGAAACCCCAATAATTAGGTATGTTCATACAATATGGGTCTTGCACAGTCTCACTCTCTGTCTCCGAACCCTCCATCACATGAAGAATGGGTTTTATTTCTACAAGTGCTCTGCAATACCAAAAAGGAAGTAGAGTGCATCTCAGTTAAGTGCAATTGATATCATAACTCACATGGAACATAATACAACAGTGTAAATCCTCAATAAATTCCTAAGGTAAGAACTTGTAGCAATTCACTTTGGTTAAATTAATCATAAATTCCAATGAAAAGTTCTTTTATCACAAAATATTACTACACATTAATACAACATGTCTATTCAAAAAATAAATCATCCAATCAACGTGCAAGTGATGAAACCCTAAAAGTATATATTTATCAATGTTACATAGAAAATCTTGCTAGAACGTAATATGCCATGGGCTAGAGAAAAATCAATTTTGAGCATTTAAAATATGAGCTAAAAGATTTGGTTTATAAGGCTGAAGTTTGGCAGAAAAATCTCTCTTCTAATAATTTCCTACCCAGTCTATAGTGTCTGGAGTCACCAACACCACGTTGTCAATTTTAAAAAGTGAGAACACTCAGAGAGCAGCTTTCCATAGTGCTAACTAGGACCCCAGCACATTAAGGTGCTTTCAATTGCTCTGACAATTTAGTAATTGTGCATACGATGAATATTAGAGCAGCTAACATAACACCCAGAGCCTTAGGCATTTGAACACTTGATTATATTTCCATATTTTAGTAAGTGAAAGCAATGGTTTTCATTGGTTCCCTTCAGGCAAGCAACTGTTTAAGGAGACCCAGATAAAGTGGATACTGTTTCTCCAAACCTAAATTTACGACAGAAATGTCAATTGCACAGACTTGTTACCTTTTTGGTAGATCAGAGACAAGCACATATAGGAAAATAGGATCGAGTACTTTAGACATGCTTCCTTCTAAATTAGAGACTCTCAATTGCTTTAGAAAATTGTCCAGCTTGTCCTGTATTTTGTGTCTCTCAGATGATGCAACCCGTGATGAACAGTAAATAACAAAGAAAATAGTTGACATAGATATTGAACAATCAAAGCTTTTTGCCACAGCTTCACTGTTTTGTAGTGCTTGTTCCAGCTCTATAGCAGGGCCTCCATCACAGAGAGTCATGGTGGGAGGATCAAGGCCCAACTGCCCAGCCATGTGAAGTACTTCCTTATGCAAGGTTGCCTGAAAATGTCAAGACCAAGTTGAATACATCTAGAGTATGGTAGCAAGAGTGTACTTGCAATTAAAGATCTTCTAAGAACTACTTTCATACCATATTCAACTACAAGCATACATCTCACAGAAAGCTAAACATGGAAGCTATATTGTAGCATTGAACATAGGACATTTAAACAATCCTTCGTTCAGACAGCAGAGGATAAACCCTGTCGCTTAACATCCAAAGAAAAAATCCTAGTGATGCAAAGCTCACTTCAGTAAAAAGTACATTTTTATAGGGAAAATAGTGTTGGTGGTAGCATCAACAGAATGGTGATGACAGTGGTGGAGGTGTCAGTAGTAGCAATGATTGTGATTGGGATGAAGTGGAAATATCATTCTTGCAACTTTAATAGTTAAAATGGTAAAATTTTAGAGTGACAATAAAGGTGACACTACAGATGGACCCCAAATAACAGAATGTTAAAAGTGTGATCTAGCAATTTATTATACCTGACTGTATGGTCCAATGCAACTAGGTGCCCAGCAGGATATACTTTGTACATGCAAAACCTTTTTGCTTTGATCTTTTCCCACTAGAACTTCAATATATGCCTTTCCCAAACCCGATTCCATCAAAGGTAATTCAATTGTACTGCGGGATGGAACACCAAATGGGCACTTCTCCAGCGTAATAAATTTCACATATGTCTCATTTGCTATTGCAAAGTCATTCATATTAGCAATGTACAGATGTATATAGAGGACATGCTCCCAACCAAAACCATATCCAACAAGTTGTAATTCAATTTGCTTTAGAACAACTGTTAAATCTTCTTGCAAACCTGGTAATTGACAAACAACCCAAAACAACCAAGCGTCATAGTGCAGTCACAAGCAAAAGCAACAGAGCACATATTTCTAAAAAAAGAAGAATACATGCATGGAATGTCTAGTGCATGTATGTCTCATCCTTGTGATATTTACCTGCTGAAGTTTTGCTTGGACCTTGCAACCAGCAACATATGGAAAATGTATTATCCTTCTTTGTCTTAGAGATGTTAAGTCTGAGATTTGTAACTTCAACTAAATTAGTGACTTCAGCAACAGACTGGCTAGTAGCCTCACACCTTTCAGGACAGTCTCCTTGCACTTCAAAATCAACTCCTGTTTTCTCTTTACAAAAATTCTCAGTTTTCTCGCCGTCACTTAATGAGGCAGACACTGACTTACTCTCCAAATGAAATTTCAAGGGATGAAGGACCCCAACTGGAGCAATGGAATCTGGGGAGTGCAGCACAACTTGAAATTCATCAAGCACAATTCGAGCATTCTGAAAATTCAAAATGTTCTAAGACTAACAGAAATTGGAAAAAGAACAATAATCATGAACATTGTCATAACAGAAACAGCCTTTGTTTTTTTATAACAGTTTGACAAGAATAAAATACACAAATTTGTAATCGTAAACTCATTTTGCCCAGTACATCAAAGGAAAAGATAAAAAATGGACTATCAAACAAATGACATCATGATGAATATACCAACACAACATTAAAACTCGACCCTCTAACAGAATGTTGATACCAGTTTTTAGCTTTTATGGTTTAGTTAAAAATGTATGCGGTACTCTTATGATTCAATCAAAAGGAGAGTTAAAACGTATGAAAAATTACTTAGGGGAAGTGCAGATACTTTCGTAAGTGATTTTAACCATTCATAATGACATTCTCAAGTTCTGGACAATCTCAAGCATCTGATACCCATCTCAGGTAACCATTCCAAGAAATTATAAAATGACTGAAAAAGTCAAGAGTAGCAGGCAAGTTGACCGGCTTAAACCCTCCCACGCTCAAATCAATAGGGAGATCTTAATTTATAGCTCAAAACTGCTTTGGATTGTGTTTGTGTTTGCAGAATATTTTTGTAGAAAAAATTCTTTAATTCATAAAAGAATGAGAGGCACAAATATTGACAAAAAGCACATAATGGGAGGAGGATCCCAGTCTCTTCTTGGCATAGAAGGAATAATAATAACTCACTGGACCACTAGTTAGTCAATCTCTCATCCATTAAAGTTTTCAAAGTGTTCATTAATTTATCCAGGCAGGATCAATCAATTGATAACTTCTCCTTTACTAATGCTCCCCCAGTTTTGGTAAAATACTCTTGCTTGCCCTTTAGCAAAGACATTTTTATTTTTCTCATTTTGGGGTTGTGTTGGAGTGTTGCACTTGAATTAGCCACATCACACATGAATTAGCCCCTATAATGATGGCATGACACATTAATCTAGCTTCCACACATGTACTCATAGGATTTGCTGGAATATTAACAGCAACTTCAGACATAAAGAACCCTAGTTTCAACTGATGATTAAAAAATTCATCACTAGAAGCTAAAGTTCTTCTCTAATTTCTTGGGGTGCACTACCTTATACTTCTTCTACTTGTGCTCCCAAGTTCACTTCCTAAGATCCTAGAACACAATTACAAGGACCATAACATGGATAAGGAGGTTAAATGTCAAGTGAAAGAACTCCCAATTAGTCCGTAATATAGAAGGATTCAAAATACCTCTAATAAAGACAATGGATCACTAACCACCAAGGGCAACCACTAGAAAAGGGATGAGGTGATAGAATAATAGCACCTTGCCTGAATTAACAAAAGGAAACCTGAGGGATAAGAGAAAGATAAGTTGACCTAGTCTTCCCATTAATCTCCCTTTCTTTCCAGGTAATAGCAAGGAAAAAGAGGAACATCCTCTCATTTTGTGTCTCCTAAAATTTTTATGCCGCTCCAATTTTCTCTTTTTTTGAAGAGTTTTTCTCTAAGAAACTAAAGAAACACATACCACGAGAAATTGGGCCTTAGATTAAGCATTTTCCCTACAGATTTGAGTGTCAAAGGATTTAAACCAGCAACCCTTGATCTTTTCCAATCATTTCGCAATATCCCAAGATGGGCATCATATGCCCAAGATCTCAACATCAACTCTAGATCCCAAGACTCACAGTTATGAACACTTAAAACTACTGGCATCCTAGCTTAAATTTTTAACTCTTCTTAAAATGAATCACAAAACTATCCTAGAACAACTATTCCATACAAATAAATTAATGTAGACATCATAGGCATTGGTGTATGGTTACTTAGATCTTCTGCTTTACATATCTTAGGGTTTAGTTAAGGGTATTTTAAACTTTTACTGTTTTAATATTAGGAATTTTTAAATTAGGATTTTCGGTCTATGAAATTAGGGTAAGTTTTTTTCAGTTTCAAAATTGAATACAAATCGATTATTAAGGTATTTTCCCCTCCATTTCTTTCAAATTTTCTCCCCTTTCTTTAAATTGATTGTGGATCACAGAAGATAAAAAGAAAGGGGGAGAATGATATAAGCACGTACTGGAACACCTAAAAACCTGGTATCAGCACCTACCATAAGGTTTTTTATTCAAAAAATTAAAGCATAAAAAAAAAGTAAAAGGTGATGATGGACAATAATCGAATCAAACTGGTTAATTAGAAAAGAAATCAAAGAATGAACTTACAACAAAGATTGGGCAATCAAGTGTCAATGTTTCATATTCACCTCCCTCACCACAGACATTAATCCCATACAACCTGAAGAGATATGACAAAAGAAATAGTATAAGCTTTAAGTTATTCTTGGAATATGCAAAACTGCATAATACATGCAATAAAAATTGTGTAAAATATGGAAAAAATTTCATACTCTTTCAACTTATGCAAATAGGAATCCAAGAATGCTATTTCTTTACCCAAATGTTTTCCAGCGTCCAACCCCATGGCTGCAACCTGCAATTACAGATAGTTCACTTTCTCTACGCTGAGGCTATAGCATGAAAAACAAATTATTCTACTAATTTCTAATTTCAAACAAATACTAAGACATATGACTTGTAGATTAAAGACACCAGAACTTCCGATATCAACACATGGCATGCATACGTATACTCATCAAAGCACAAGTTTCTTCCCAGAGAATCACAATTGCTAAAATCTTCACATCAACTAAGTTGTAATAGGGCAGATACAGAGTGCAGAAGACTAGGAAATGAATGAGAAATTTAGAATCTTGTTTCATGTTATGGAAAAAGCAATAAACTATTGTTTTCTAAATTAGTTGGCAACTTGGTGGGTTTCTAGCTATAGCTACCACTTAGAATAATTCAGACCATATTATTTATTTAAAATCGCTACATAACTCTAGCAATAAACAGAAATAGAAAAGAAAGAAACCAAGTCAGCACTGTATCTAGATAGGGTTGCATACAATCAATCAGATGATATAATAGGATCTGAAATCTTGTTTTAGTGAGAAATGGAGTAAGTGGAGGGATATGAGTTTATGCAATTATATTTGAAACACATAGTAGCAGTATCTCAAAGGCTTCAAGGCATCAACTTAGCTAGTACATAACTTAATTGAGTACATTTCAGTGGTAACTTAATACTCCAAAGAGGAAAGCACAGTGATATCTCTACTTAAGAAAGTCAATGTAAAACCCTGTAAGTCATATAAAAAATACTCAGAATGACAGAAAAAAGTTGAAGTCTTCACAAATTAAAGAAACAAAACAAATAACTAACCGGAAAACAAGGGATACCTTAACTGTGATAGCCTTAATACCATTGGTTATCTGGATAAGGAAAACATCTAGTGAGACAAGAAATATGAATGTTGATCAATGAGCATTTCATTTTAATTATTAGAAACTTACCATTTCGTGAAGGAGAATTGACTGATCTTGCTTCCACAAATATGCTAGAGAAACTAATCCTAATCTAGAACAAACGCTTTCCACACGTAACCTTTGATAATCTGAAGCAATAGCACCTGAAGATACTGCTGTGACAGATGGTATTTGTCTTTTTACTTCATTCAACAAAATAAACATATCTTCAACTTCATCTCCTGGTGTCATTTTGTAGGTAAGCTTTTGATGCCTATACACAAACCATAGAGGCCAACTAGATCATGAAAAGAACAATAAATCCATTCATCTAGTAGATAAAAAACTTAAGCTTCATTCCTCATAAAATATTAAATTTTCCAGGTAACATTCTAATCTGACATGGAAGAAGAGTTCCCCAATTTTGTGCATAAATTCACAAACCAGCGTTATCATCAATAAATTCACAGAAACATATGTGTGTGTACACTACATTGCATAACTGTAAAGATTATACATGCTACCAGAAGAAGTTACCAGTCCTCCTCCATTGTAAGGGCTATTCAAATTCATATCCAAATGTAAGTAATTTGAGTAGTGTAGACTAAAAATTCCACTCATTTCAAATTGATATTTCTATAACTGATAGACCTCCCATTAAGCAGGTGTATCAATATAAAGGGCATAAGGGTAAAAAGGCATGCATGTGTGTTAGTGGAGGTTGGTTGATAATTCTGATGATTGTCATTTCCATTCCATTAATACAATACCAAATTGTTTCAGAACTACATTGTTCTTTGTTTTTCTGCAATTATTGCCTATTGTGTTGCTGGGTTTGTGTGAGATTGATAGGGAGTTCCATCAATAACTAATCTATAACAAGTTAAGAAACCACTTGACCTAAAAGCTTGAGCTATTAGGCGATAGTCTAACATTAATATTTACGTCTAATAAGCTTTTCAAATTGTAACGTGAATGCATGAGACTGAACAAAACGAACCAAGATTTGATTTGACATGAAGAACTAGAACACAAGACCTATATCTTTGACATCTTATTAAGAAATCATTTGACTCAAAAATCTAAACTATTCAGTAAGAACAAACATTAATACTAAAGTCTTAAGAAACACAAATTCTATATGATTTGGTTCTCAAATACATCAATCCAAACTTAATATGCACCCACATATAATCAAAGGATTTTTATGTTAATATGGATTAATAGCTAATCCATATCAACTACCATAAAAAAACATAGAGATCTAAAATTGACCAAAATACAATGTATGACATGATGCATGAAGATATCAATGTTTATACTAGTCTAGTTATGTAAAGATAAAACTAAAACTTGTCCAAATAAGACAAATGATTTTACCAAAGAATTCCCGAATAAAATGGCTTGCCTTGTGGAGCCTTTTATCCTTCTTCTGAACAACGGCAACCCCATGCACTCAGCATAGCTCACAATTATTTGGTGTCCAACCTGACAAGAAAAAACAGAAAAGCACTCACTAGCCCCAATCATAAAGTGGAAAAAACAAAACCCTTTACCTTCATTTATGAATTATGATTTAGAATGCTATGGCAGAAAGCCCTTTTGAATAACAGTGTTCAATGTAAAAGCTCTTGACGAAACTTTGAACGTATCAAGTCAGTTTCCAGAAAAAAATGACACTGCCTTTCCTGATCTAAAAAGCATTGTTGGAGATACAGCAATCAAGTACTTCTCCAGAAAGCACTCCAAGCATCCTTTTGATACAAGAAGCACATTCCTTCATTTCAAATAAACACGACAAAAATAAATAAATAAAAAGAACCCTATTGACAATCTGTAAGCACTTTTCAGGATGGAAAAATCACGCTAGAAATTTCAATAACACTTCTCCAGTACATAATCAAAATCTCGAAACTTCCAATGAATTAGATTAAAGATATTACAAACCAAACGCAGTGTTAACTGTTTGCCTATAGTGTGCTTCTTAACATTAAATACACATGAATGCATTTTAGAGAAGCACTTAAAAAAAAATTCTTAAATGCTCCTTGAAAATTTACTCCATAAGTGCTTCTCTGAAAAGTACTCTAGTCAAAATCACTTCTACCCGGAAATGATTCCCGAAAGAAAAATTTCAATACACAGAGTTAGATAAGAGTAAAAACAGAAAGAGAGTGAGTGAGTGAGTTCTTACAGTTTGATACATGTAGCTATCCAGTTCATCCACCGAATCATCAGACGGCAACAAATTCGCCAAAGCAACAATCTATATATTACCAATCATCAATGAATGCTTGAATATTTTGTTGCAAAGTCAAAAAACAAAGACAAAGTGAGAGAAAACAGTAATTGATGATGAACCTCGTGGCCGTATTCGATGCATTTCATCATGGCGTAACAGCTGTCCTTGCCGCCGCTGACTAACGCCACCACCTTCATATTTCTCTCCGTCTCTTCACTGCGCCTTGGCCTTCGGTTTAGGGTTACTGCTACTCACTGAAGCGTGGAGCCTAGACTGGTTTAGTTACCACGTGCGGATGACTAGTTGACTACACTCGTAAAACTATTTTCAAAGCCTATTATCTACTTTTACCAAATTACTATTGAATTTTTACTCTATTCTCTTTTACCTGTATTTATCTCATCAAATACTTTTTAACACTTTAGTTTTTTATTTATTTTTATTTTTAATCGGGATATCTAGCCCAGTTTAGGGGTAAAATTCGAGCCGAGCTCGACCTAGTAATAACTCAAGCTCGGCTAGACAAAAATTGAGCCGAGCTCACGCTCAATTGGCTCGACTACAATATTGAGCCGAGTTCGATCATGTACCTACTACGCTTGACAAGCTCGTGAGCTGAGCTCGATATATTATAATTTTATTTTACTTTTCCCCTCTTCTTTGTCCCATCTCTTCTTCTTCTTGCCTCTTCTTTCTTCATTTTTCTCCGGTTTTCCTTCTCCTTCCATTTACTTCATTTTCTTTATTTTTAGGGGGGGTTTAGGAGTGTTGTTCTTGATAAAGAAGAGAGAGAGGATTTTTTTTCTCATTTCTTTCATTGAGAGCTACAGTTTTTGCTATTTTTTGACCGATTCCTTCATCCAAAATTCATTCCGTCCACATTAGGTATGAAATCGAGTTGACTATCTAGGTATTCAATTTGACTTGATTTCATCCTTAATCCCCAAATATGATAGATGATCATTTAATGGGATTCAAACACAATACCTCTAAATAACTTAAAATCTTGTCATCACATCACCACTGTTTTAAAAGCCGGACCAGACCGACCGGTCCAATGGTTGGACCGTGAACCGGTCACGTGTCCGGTTCGAGTCAACATAAAAACCGGTATTATGCAATAACCTGTTTTAACCCGTCAATGGACCGTGTGAACAGTTCTGGACCGCCGGTCCAACCGGACGTCAAGCAAAACCGACCAAACACTGAAAAGGGCAAAAATCCCTAATTTTCTCACTTTCTCCCCATCACGCAGTTTCTTCTTCCTCAGTTCCTCTATGCGCAAAATACTCTGAAAATTTTTGAATGAAATCGCGAAAATCTGAAATCCCACACAAATCAAAACTGAATCTTGCTGAAATCGCAACCATTCCTTGCTGAAGTCGCAACCATTCGTTGCTGAAATCGATCGCAACTCCAGTCTCTGAAATCGCGATGACGCATTCCTCCTTTGCCAGAAATCGATGATGCATTCCTCCCTCGTCGGAAATCGACGCATGAAGGCTGATTGGCATGCATCTCTGGACAATCCAATTTGATTCAAGCTGAGTTGCAAACAATAAATTTAGTGAACATCTTCTGATTCATACTCTTTTGAACTTTTATGGTTAATACCTGATCATATTCACTTTGAATCATTATCTTTTTCCTATTTTTTCTGATTTGGTTCAATTTATGTAATTAAATCAGAAGGCAATACTGTTTACACTAGGTTATATTTACTTTGGAGCTAAAGCAAACATCAAAGTTTGGTTTGGGACCCTTCTGTCGAATCTGACGATGAGTACAGTACTTCCCGAGTTAGTCTCCAAAGTGGTCCTTACTACAATTTTGAAAGCATTGAATTTGGATGGGCGGTTAGTATAACTAAGAATTCTTTTTCAGTTCAGTCATTCATCCATTACAACACTAGCTAAACAAATACCTTTTTTCTTTTTTGGTTCATAATTTTTCAGGTAAATCCAAGAGTGTATGGGGATAAGAAGACTCGATTGTATGTATATTGGACCGTAAGTACTTGTCAACAAATAAGTTATTATAATTTTTATGGAGGTTAACTTCTTGTGGAGATGTCTATGCTACTAAATACACAACGTAAGATCCAAAATTTTATTTCTTTTCTTTATTAAATAGGTTGATGGATCAAAGGCAACAGGGTGCTTTGATCTTACTTGCNTTTTGGGCCAACCCGACGGGTTGGCTATTGCAAAAAAAAAAAGCAATCCGGCCCATCCGAGGGTTGCTGGCGGGTTGGGTTCAACCTGGCCCGTCATATTGGCGGTCCGGATTGAACCCTCTTTATTGCGGGCCGGGTTAGGGTTAACCCGCCTAACCCGACCTATTTGTTCCACCTCTAGTCTCTTATCTTTGTGGATATGCTGAGTGAAAAACTGAAAATAATTAAATAAATAAACAAAAGTATGAGTTTATTTGAAGGAGAATAACTTATTTGAGATGTTTTCAAGCAAAGCCATTTGATTAATGTTTTTTTTTTCTTTTCTTTTCTTTCCATCGACGGAGAATCATAAATGAAATATGGTAGTTGCAAACACTTCTCGGGGCAAGATTTATAAAGAGATAGGCTTAAGGTTGTTGGTTTTTGTGATACAATTACAAAGTACAAACATCATTGAAATCTCTCATTTTATCTCCAATATTTCAACACTTCATTAAACTTGATTCCTCAGTTTTGACTTTTGATTTTAAAAATATTCAATGTAAAGCTATATGTTTGAACTACTATCTAGTCTTACTTATCACCCTAAACGAAATAATATGTTAACAGCCTAACACAACGGAATTTGGTAAGACTTTAAAAAAAAAAAAAAAAAAAAAAATCTAATTAATTCTTCAAGCTACATAGAAATTAACTCAAATTCTTGGATGTTCAAATCAATAATTGGAAATTTGGAATCTAAAATACACAAACGAAGCGCATGACCCAGAATAAAACAGCTCAGTATTTTTTTTTTAAAAAAAAAAAAAATCAAATGTTACCTAGCACTAAAAAGATCAGCCATAACATGCGAGTACATAAAATAAAATAAAAAAAAATTAAAAAAAAAAAAAAAAAGCCAAATCAATTGACATAAATAATACCTTACAAATTGAAAACTTAAGAAGAAATAATTAATGTAATACACGTTTTGGACATTACTTTTAGCATGAACTTGATTATCATCCCCTCAGCAAAACACTCTGTGTGCAGAAAATTTCAGTATCACGAGGCGGCGTGGCTTCACTGCAATAATTTTTTAACAAATTATGCACACATATGCCCTCAAAATTCTTCCAACTCGTACATCAAAGTTTGATAGATCGCACCAAGCTAAGCTCGAAATCCCCTCTGATGGTAAGAGGTATCAGCGCAGCCCCATCAAAGGACTGACTCCTTCGAGTTGAAGGTTCCTGTGTATGATGCCCGGTTTAAAAATAAAAAAGATCTGAAGCTTTTCGGTGAGCACCTGTAGAAAAACTAGATTAAAACAACAATTGGAAGACAATTAGAGAGAAAGAACAGGTGAACACAAATTTAATCTTCCAGGCTGAATGTAAAGAAAGTAAAAGCTCTCCAAAAAAGGACTGACTTAAAGGTATTAAAAAAAAAAAAAAGAAAAAAAAGGAATTCTGACACTAATATAATTGCTAGTGTCATTTGCATATATTTAAAGTGAGCAATGTCGTCTACATGCCAAAAGCATTTTTGCCCCGAAGGCGTTTCAGGACACAAAAAAAAAAAAAAAGTCTTCTTGAGCACTATTACTGGAGATAATAGCATCTGGACACCTAGTTCTGAGATTGTATAGACTGGAAAAAAAGGATCAGGATTATGTAAGATCTTTCCGGTGCTCACTTTAATGATGTTAGGTCTCTCTTATTATCAAAGTTGTTCCATGCAAGTAAAATCATAGTTTTGGTATTCTTTGTATCATCCGGACATCTCAAATGCTTGTCACATTAATTTGTTTTATCAAAACAGTGACCACTGAATCCCAACTCTAGATAATCACGCCATGAAGGACAATACAATCATTAACCAATATTGTTGATGAACTCTCTAAGCTATTACTAACTCTCTAGATAAATGCCATCATAAAATTAAGCTGGTATAATTTTCAGTATTGTAGAGATGAAAATTGCACGGGCCAAATAATCAGTTTTGCATTACCATCTAGAACATCTTAATGTAAACTGTATCTTACCTAATTAAACTCAGAAAGCAGCCTCAAGGGACTCATCCCAAACTTCTGCACTTCCATTGGAGGCATCTTCAACATCTTCTTCCATTGAAAGCCTAATATATTCTCTATGAGCAAAGCGATCCCATTCCGTCAATGTAGGATTCTCACGCTCCTGTAACATCAGGGCCCTCATCATTACTGACCACGAAGTACAGAACTAAACAATATCCTCAATTCTATCAGTACCATAACTAAAAAAGTTAGGACATGTACCTGACGAATAAGAAATGGATCACGAGTTTCGAAGGCCATAAATTTATTTAAGTTAAAAAGAATATTGAAAACGCTTCCTGATAGTTTACAACCTTTCAAGTCACGTAAGGTAATATAGCTCTCATTCTGCAAGCAGAAGATAAAGAACAAACGTCAAACACAAATAAAGTCTTTAAACTGATGATGCATGAAGAGCATATTCAAGGAAACCTAGTTCCTAATGGCAAATTATAATACTCCATCTTCCTGAATAGAAGAAAATGTTTCCTATACAAGTGGAATGCGAAAGGAATCCATTTCAGACTTCAAAAAAAGATTAATGTTTGACCAGCTACATTCCACCACATCTTAGGATAAGTAAGGATCTACAAATTAGAATCTAGTAACATTTTATAAATTGATGACCATTAAAGGTCAACTCCCTTGATCATGCTTGCATGCACTTCTTAATATACAAAAGAACACACACACACACACACTGGATGAACCTCTGGTCCAATCATGTCAATTATAAGAGGGAATAGAAAGACAACCATTAAAATTGCAAAAGAGAAAAGGATGAACCTCTGGTCCAATCATGTCAATTATAAGAGGGAATAGAAAGACAACCATTAAAATTGCAAAAGAGAAAAGGATGAACCTCTGGTCCAATCATGTCAATTATCTGACACAATATATCCTCAAAAAGCACAGGCTCTTGGGCCATGCATTCCATTCGATGCAACTGCTCTTCATAAAAGAATTGCATTTCATTCCGCGTGAGAACTCCATTTCCATCCAAATCTATACACTTGAACCTAAAAAACACATTTAATGTCATGATTTGTGCACCAAAGACAGAGTAACCTCACTATATAAAGAAAGATTTAGCAATTGGATATATATCTATGTTTGTATGTATGATATTTATGCGGAAAAGAAAATAATAAGAAATTATTAATGTACAAGTGGTTCAAGCAAGTTCAATGTACATTGAATAATCATGTGACTACAAGTGATATAAGTTTATTTTCCTTACACTAAATTTGTCATATTCCATTTCTCAAAAACTATTATGGCCATATCATCCAGGCTCATGTTTCAGTGTACTAGAATTCATTTGAAAACAGTAGGATAAACATCCATCTCTTAGACTTCTTTCTTTTCCTCCCCCACTCCTCCTGAAAGGAAATCAGAACATATACCCAGTCCTAAAACTAGAAAATCACTAGATTTATGCTTTTTGCCAATGTTATAACACTTTTTTATGTGTGATTAAATCTGTACAAAATACAGCTAAAATATTAATAAGATTATGCAAAATACACAGCCTAATGAGTGAAACAAATAAGATGGAAAAATACCTATACTCCAGATATGTACGTGAAATCCATTAATTACCAGTGTTATCATGTAAGAAAATTCCTAAGATATCCTATAGCTGGAAATTCAAAATCATGTTCTTAAGCCCACAAAGAGAGAGAGATATATACCAGTATTCAAGACTAGGCTCAGATGACTTATCCTCCTCTGCCAGTATGAAGTAGACAAAATCTTCGTAACCCATCTTTCCTTCAACCTTACTAGTAAACTTTCTCGCAACCTGAGACAAAAGGCAGCAAACATCAGTGAATGCTTTTATCTTTAAAGAAGAGGAGCAATCCATTAAGCAAAAATATTTTGCTATATAAATAACAGCCATCTTGGTTTGATAAACAAAGAAACCATCAGCCTGACAAACCTGAGAAAATACTCTATCAACAATCCTGTAGGTAAGTGCATGGTTACCATATCTGATGAGGTTCTCTTTGTCGATCAAGAAATCATGATCTGTATCCAACTCCCAAAACTTACAGTATATAACATAAAAGTGTTCATACGAGAAGTATCTGTAAATAGAAAAATATTATTAAATTAAATAAATAAGAACACGATCCTAGATGGCATGTCCTAAGCATACTAAGCATGTTTTTATTTATAATATGCTTTGTTGACTGAAAATGATCTATATTAAAAGATATATCTAGGTCAAGTATTGGTAGAACTACCTTAAAACTTTGTTGATGTCTTCTTCTTCATCAGCATGTTGCATTGCATCTATTAAGTTTCCACGCTTTAGCTCTCTCAGGGAAAGATGACCATTCCCAGATCTATTTATATAGTAGAATATTCTGTATATTACAGTATCAGCTGGTCCATTGCAATAAAATTGAAAGTTAGAAAATAATGCATATAATATAATGGTTACAAAGTTATACGAGTGAAAGTCGAAGCTCCAGATTAGGAGACGTTAAAGGCCCACACAGATTTATCCATGCCACATATTAGTATAGAATTTTTTGTTCTGACATAAATATATCTAAGATGACAAGTTGTAAAAATCTAAAGCAAATTGAACTATATATGCAAAATACAAAGCAGTTTCGGTAGAGATTTTAACATTCATAATCACTCAATGATCAACACATTTGAAAGAGGGGGGAGGTGAACCTTCTAGCAAAGTACCAAAGATCAAATTTGTCAACAAACAAATCCAAATTGAGAAAGCGATCTACACCTTACTACTAGATAGAGAACAAACCATATCTGTCCTGAAACTCAGGTGTACTCTGTAAGAATTCCAATCCCGGATGAGTTGCCAACAATTCTCGGAGTAAAGGTTTAAAATCCTCCTGTTATCAAGTTAGCAAACATTTTAAGGCATAAATGAGTATAAATTTAAATGATTTATCAAGATCCTTGACAGATGTTAATATCAATATCAATAATAACAAAATTAAATTCTAGAAACTATATTGACAGATTACCAACAATAATTTCCATATTTTTATGCCATAAAAAAATAAATAAAATACTAGGCATTGACTGAAGGTAGACTTTGAATAGAAAGAACATGAAAAACATTAATAGGAAAAAAAAAATAATGATAAAGAAAATTGCACCTTAGTGAGGTAATTGAGATCTGGCTGCTTTAAAATTGAAAATATCTGGGTTGCTATATCCATTGTCAACATGTTACCATTGATCCAATAATCAACAAATGCATTCCTGCAAACATGTTAGAAGAAAACATAAGACAACTTTATTTTTCTCTAATGCTGCTTATAGCTTTCCATAAATAGCAAACTCCTTTAAAACAACTAGCACCCCAACAAGATTAAATGAAGAAAGTAGATAGAAATGAAGCTAAAAGTCTCAGTGCCCAATTGCTTTGTGATTCTAAAATGATTTTGAAAAAATAAGTTACAATTTAAAAGTCAAAGTTGTATCTTAATATTTTTAATATTTTTTCGCAAGTTTGATTTAATATTCAAAATCTATTTCCTAAGTTCGAAACTACAGAAAACAGAGAAAATGACTATTTTTTTCATTTCTGATTTTATGCCAACCAAATATGTTCTCTGAAAGTTTCTTGTTCTCATTGTACGCAAAAACAAATAATTGTATTGGTATCTAAACCAAACATGTCCTCACTTTTAACAAAAAACAATAACTCAGATCTTAAAAAAATTCCTGAGCTCTGATCCAATTAGTTTTAGTAAGTGCTCACAAATTTATGGTGTTTGTATCCATCAAAAACAGTTAACCACTTAGATATTTGCCAATAAAAGTCTGTCAACCATTAAAAGTTTTACTTAAAGGAGCTGATGAAAGAGACAACCTATTACTTTTGGGAAGATCCCATGATACCAAATGGCATAGATACCGGTTACATTTGACCTATTAAATAAGGAAAAGAAACTGTTCATTTTCATCCAATGGTTTTAACTTTACCACCATTGTATTGTATGTAAGAATGGCCCATTCTATATAGCGCAAAATATGAAGAGAACCGCAAGAGTGTTCCAAGAATCACATATAACTTACGGATTTGATCAAAATAACTTTCTTGTTTAAGTACCAATTGTAGATTAATGATTTTGTAAGATAAATTTAAAATGAAGATTAATAACTTTTGTTTCTCCAATAAGTTACATGTAAAATAGTTTAGACTAATATGACAGAATCTCCTCCAAGTTTAATTCTTCAAATTTCTACCACTTGATTCCCAACTTGTAATCAGATTCAGAACTTCACAAAAGTTTTCTAATATTTATTCAAGTAGTCTAGAAGCATGAATGGTAGTGGAAACAAAAACAACACAGGGGAAGGGGGAGTATAGGACCAAAGGAGAGAGAAGAGAGATTGCAATTAAAAACTGCACCTAAACCCTTCAAATAACATAGTGAAATACTTTAGATCTTAATTGTTCAAAGCAAAATAATGTAAGTATGGCTTATTTAAACACAAAAGGCCTTGCAGTATTAGCAAGATCAAGCTAAATAATCAGAAAGTTACTGCAAAGCATAAAAATTAAAAAATAGTTGGCATACCTTGTGATATGACCAGTGTTATCAACATCTATCTTTTTGAAAAGAGCCGTGGAGAAGAAGGATGGTAGCTTGCAGATTTCCTTAGTAATTAATTTGAATTCTGACAATAAAAATAAATAAATAAAAAACAGGAAAAATTAGAAGGCCAGCAATGGAAAGAGCGTGTATTGTGATGTTTACGCATATTGCACCTTGTACAAGCAGACCATCCGAGTGGCCATAGAAAAACTGATTAATCCGAAACAAACATTGTTCTTTTAGTTCACTTGGAGGAGGGCGGCCATTCTGAAAGTAAAACTGCAAGATTTCAAATATCCATATTAGAAACTATTTTACTTTACCCTCTATATACAATTTTAGCAAACCAAGCACAAAAAAAGATCACATTTAAGACAAAAAGTATAAAAATGACACCAAATCTTATTTTTCAATTCTTTTTCCACTTATTTTCTTGAATAAAGCACCCAAATTGGAAAAGAAACAGTGTTTTGCCAACCTGGGGTATCAACTCTCTGACTGGCTCACTAACTACTTTCAATGGAGAACCCAAATTTGAAGGGCCAGCCCTCTGTTTCATCACACGAGGGGAACCAGATGTGCTTCTCGGTGAAAGTGGAGGTGCACTGCCAGCAGGAAATAAAGAGGGTAACGGATTGGTTGAGGAAGCATGTGGGCTAGATGAGTTCCCAGTGACATTCAAGGGTCCTGCCTTTGCATCATTAAGCAATGATGTAACCTAGCCAAAAAAAGGACAACAATTAACCAAAGATATGACAGACACATGAGTTGAAGAAAAAGAATAAGAAACGGAGATGCAAATTCAAATATAAAATAAAAGAAGCAGAAAAAAAGTGCATTTCATAAATAAAGTTCTGTTAGTAAAGCTAAAAAACCTTTAAGGGTAAGTAACCAAACTCGGCAAGCTGGCTAAACTTCCTATGGTAAGTAACTAAACTCGGCAAGATGGCTAAACTTCCTATGGTATGTAATTAAACTCGGCAAGCTGGCTAAAATTGACAGTCAATATTTAAGTGAGTAAGAACACCACCTTCAATAAATTTCAGGCTGAAAACTACTTCCAGGTAACTAAATCTTACCTCAATAAATTTTTTCATGTCATTTACATTGTCTAAAATTTGTTCAACCACCATTACAATTATACATACTACATTATTTTTGAGCTACAAGCCATATTGTTGGTGAAAAATCTCGTTAGTTGAAAGTCCATCCTCGACTAAAATTTTGTTATTTTACTACAATCACTCCACCCAAACCCTTCGTCCACCAAATCTCACTACGTGAAATAGGAAGCCAACAAGTATTAACCGTCTCAATCAATTCATCAACAAATGAGATTCAGTGTATCGAAATGCACCTAAAACTCCTTAAATCAAAAACCAAGCAAACACAAAAACTCAGCAACTAATCATAAATCCTCAATATATCCATAATTTTTTAATTAACAACACAAATCAAACATATACACCAATTACATCTACTTATGTAGAACAGTGAGATTTAGAATACCAATTTATTAGCTTCAGGAAGCGAAAGCCATTGCTCGAAGAGCTTCTGTGCAAACTCCGGATTCGATTTGAGTGCCAACGGAGACATCTCCGGTAATTGCAATAACTCCGCATCCAAACACGTCATATCTCCGACAACACTTTCCATACTCTTTAATAAACCAAATCGATACGCATATATATTACTTCGTTTGAGTCGTTAGAAAACAAAACATAAGATAAAACCCTAGATGTTGCAAATCGAAGCTCGAAAATCTACTTTCTCAATGTCAACGAATCGATTGCGAAAAAATTTATAATTACCGAAAATTAATTATCAAAATAATGATATTTTAATGAAAATGTGGTCTTTGGAGTGAATGAAACCCTAGATCTTTGACAAATCCAGAGGCTCGTTATCTCCGTAGAAAGTGGTGGAGATGATGTGAGGTAATTGGAGAGAAAGAAAATGAGGGAAAGTGTGGGAAAATTAAAGCAAGATCGATGTGCGATTCAATAGAGTGATTTAAGTGAGAAAATTTAGTAAGAGATTTAGTTGAATAGTTGGAGAGATTTTTATTTTTTAATTTTTTTTGTATTTTGTAAAAATGAAATAAAATTGCATCTGAAATGGTTGAACAAAGATGCAAGACACGTGTCCATGCGCTTGAAAATTTTTCGGCCTTTGATCACGTGATAAAAGCGTGTCGTAGGTACACTAATTAAGAGAAACTTTAAGATACGTCCCTTCGTATTTTGTCAATGTCAAACAGAATCCTATTATGTATTTGAAAAGTATTGAAAAATCTAATGATTTTTCATTGGGATATTTACTTGTAGTCAACTTTTTTAGAACCATGCCAAAAAATAAAATTTACACAATTTCAAAATAAACATAAGTACCCAAAAGATAAAAAAAAAAAAATTTATATTAAATATTAATTAAAAAACACTAACAAAATTATTGTTAAAATGATTTAGCTATATGTATTAATATCAGTTACAGTAGATTTCCGTCAACACATAGAAAGATTCAACACCGAATCTCCGTTGCATGATTTATGGTGGAAATATGTCAATATAAACATCAATAACTAGATCGAGTAATATTAGACATATAAACAAATCTTACAAATATTTTTATATAAATTGATGTGACTGAAAATGAATAGAAGAATGAATATGATGAAATCAGTTTTTATATAAATCTTTATAAGATTTATTTGTACATCTATCATTATTGTTTTGCTAAACTTAAAAAGGGAACTTATTCTCCCTTAAAAACAAGATGGGTTGTGGATATTGTTCGATGTGAAAATATGAATATAACTACATTTAGGGAGTGTTAAATGAAATAAACCAATTTTAAAATGTCTTCCATATTAACCATGCAACTTCCCTTAATGACAATAGTACCCTTATATCCTCTTGTATCTTGCGGAAGGGAGTAAAAGGAAAAAATTTCCTCACTCGTAATTTTCATCAATTTTGTTTCTAAATTACAAGAGGGAAATAATTTTTTCACTAGTATAAGGAAAAACTTGAATCATCGTTAGATGACCTAATGATAAAAGAAAAAAAAATAGATTTTATGAGCTATTACGTTCGAGTATTTCTAAGTACTAATAAGAGTGACCATTGAGACTCTTATCTGATGATAGACAATTTTGGGCCCTGAAGACTTAATTAAGGTGCATGCAAGCTAGTCCGAATGATGATAAAAAAAAAAAAAAAAAAACTGTTACTTGTAATATTGCCCATTATTTAAAAAAAAAAAAAAAAAAGTGCATAAAAAGGTTTTCCCCTTATTGTAATTTATGAGGATCAATAAGATAAAATTGATGTAATGACGTTTTATCTTCAATCTTCGCGATAACTACAGATATTTGCAAATATTTGCATAATAAACCTAATCATTAACAATAAATCATAATCTAACTTATTTATCTAAACAAATGATAATCTAGCTTATAGATTTTTAAGCTTTTAAAATAAATAGGATGAAGCAAATTTATCAATTTAACTCCTATTATGGCTTCACATCAAGGATGAGAATATATGAGAAATATATTATCCTTGATATTGTTTGTTTTGTTATTTGAGAAATATTAGTATATTTTTTAATTTTTTAGACCTATTAAGTTATTAATTTCAAAATACCTCCTAAAAAAAGTTTAAAATTAACAAAAACACCCCATTCATCCATACTTGCCAGATTCCGAAAACCACCGTCGGTGGTAGCCGAAATCTGTCATAACGGCCTACAAACGACAGAACTGGCCAGTAATTCACGATCTGGCTGAAAAATGTCAGATCTGGCCGTCAGCAAATGGCCGTCATTGACCATATCTTGGCCATTTGCTGACGGCCTGATCTGGCCGTAGATTTGGCCTTTCCGACAGATCCATGGTGGATTTGGCCGGAAAAGGCCATATCGATGCCCTACCCACCAGATCCAATTGGTTTGCACGTAATGCCATTTTTCGGCTAGATTCCGACGGTGGTGGCCAGAATCTGGCACTGTGGGTGGGTGGGTGGGAGTGTTTTTACATTTTACAAAATTTTTATTATATGAATGTTTAGTTAAATTAGCAAACCTAGCAAGTTTTTTGGTAAATTTTTAAATTTTACCTCGTAATACTCCCTTATTCAACTACCAAATATTATTCTCAAAATCTATCAAAAAAAAAAAAAAAAAAAAAAGGGACCCATAGGATTTATAATAAGGATTGCCATCCCCATCCTTATCTTATCCCTATTTTGATATCCAAATGCACAATTAGGGACCCAACGAGGAATGCAAATAGGGAAATAATCTTTGTGGGGACTCGATTTCCAAACAAACATATATAAAAAAAATGTTTTTTATTGTAATTTATATTTGACCATTTAAAAATTTTTATCTAATATTCAAAAGTAAAATGACCAAATATAATATTATTAATAATTACATCATATTAAAATATTATATCCTAATTTATACATAAAATAAAAACATAATCAATAATTGTATTAAAGTTAAGGAAAACTTAAATTCCATTTATAAAACATTTCTTTTTATAACCAAGATGTTTGAACTAGCTTACGTGTATTCAACTAATCTTTGGAAGAGATTAGTCACACATCGTACGACCTTCCAATTAAATTGTGGATGTTTAGATGAGAATCGAATCTGAAACCGTATATCTAGCCACATATCCCCAATTCGTCCTAATTTTCTAAGCTATCCACGGAATTTACAGCAATAATTGGTTATTTTGCCAAAATACACCGAAATGCTTTTATGATAACATCACAAAAATTATTGTTATGCAACCCCAGGGGATTATATTCTTATTAATAATAATAAATTTATGCTAAAAATTTGAGATGTTTTAAATAATTCTTCTAAAATTGTAGAGACTTTTAAACGATTTCTTCTAAAATAATAAGAAAACAAAAAAATTTTTAGAGCTTTTCAAATGTTAAGCAAATTAATTAAAAGAAAATAAATCTAGTGAATATAAACTTGGTAAAGTCAAAGACTTTTCGTATTCCCATTTTGCCCCTTTTTCTTTTTGTTTCATTTCAAAGTAAAGTTGTTATTTATATATATACATATATATTACAATATGTCTAAAAAGTGACCTAAAAAATCAGTAACAAAAGGAATTGACCACCAAAGTAAAATAAAATTTAAAAAAAAAGTAATTAAATATTTGAAATTAGAAAATGAGTGTAGGTAGTATTTTATTAGATAAATAATTTTTATTTTACTAAATCAAACAAATTTACTTGGTTGCCCTTATTCCAGTTACTCGGCAAGCCTAACGGTGGCGTGCTTTTAGGAATTTTCAAAACACTGCATGTTAACTGAAATTTTCTTAAATCGAAAGCTGTAAAGAGAATTTTCAGCAGAAAATAACTGAAAAAAGCTGTGGCTTTCACTCTGCCCTCCGGTGAAGTTGATTTTCCTATACGTTTCTGTGCTGCCAAGCAAGGCCTACGACGAAAGATGAGCGAGAAATCAAATTCCGAAGCTTTTGCTTCGGATCTTCTGAAACAATTTGAGCATATTTTGGAATCCGATCCGCTTATGTAAGTAACACGAACCCTTATCTAGGCATTGCTGAATTAGCTAATTTCAGAATCTCGACATTGAAAGAATATATCTTGTTTTATCGTAACTTGCATTCGTAGGGATAGAGATTTAGATTATACAATTCCATGTAAATTACAGACTGTACTCGATTATAATTTTAAAAATTTAGCTCAATATTCGACTTGTTTCGCCTCGGTTCATTTCCATGTGTTTTAATTAGTATTGAAGTGTTAATGGTTTTAGTTTTTATAATATTGTTTTATTTATTTATTTATTTTTAATTATAAATTTATTTTGGGACTTTGTTAGATGAATATGCTATTTCCCTAAATTTTTAAAATTTCTTAATTTAGTGCTGTTAATTTTTTATTGTGTTCTGCAATAACAATTTGACCAAGGAAGTAAGCTATACATGTCATGTATGCTATGCGCTACAATTGTATTCTGTCATCTTCTTGATATGTTTCCTCTTATGTTGTTAGAAGATAATATTGTAGATTCTCAATGTTTATCTAGATCGTCTTTTGAAAATTTCTCAAAAGTTTCAATTTTGTTGGCCGTGTATGAACTCAGTGACGAAGTAGGGTTCATTCATCCATCGCAGTTTGTCGCATTGAAAGAAGAGGTGGGTGGTTCCCTCAGCTCATCTGAAGGTGGAGTTCTCCAATCACAAGATGCTTTAGAGAATGGAATTACTAATTTCTGGAATAGAGATCATAAGTTGGGCATTTCTACGCAAATTGTTATTTCATTGTACAAGGCAGCTAAAAATGCATTCATGGCTGCACATAGACAACATAAGACGTCCAACGATGAGACTCTTGCAAGTGAAGTTTTGATTCATGGCAGGGCTCTTTTGTTGCTTAGCTGTGATTTTGGCACTGCTTGGAATTCCAGGTTCTTCCCTTTGATGTATTTGCTCTTTCCTTTACATTTTCTACAGTTTTTCTTTTTTCTTCACTTAAGAGGTAGGCACTCCATGTGATACTTTCATCGCTTGTCCAATGCTAGTAAAGCAGCGCCCCATTCTCACAATTAATCCCTTCTTTCCTGCCCAAATGGAGCTATTCTATTATTTAATTGCAATTAGGTTCACCATTAAATTAATATAGTAGTTTTCGGTATTTCTCAACTTCATTATATCAAATCCTTTTTGTCTCCAACATTCATTTGGCTTAATGACTATTCAAGCATTTGGACCTTATATAATCAGTGTAAATGAAGATTCAAGAGCTGTTTGAGTAAGGAGGACAGAGATTGACTTATGGCATGATCAATAAATTTTAGTATAAGTTTTTGCTTGTTTTGAATATGAAGCCAAGTTGTATTTTTGTGTCATACAGGAAGTTAATTGCATCAAAGAAGCAGCTCCTGCCAATATTTATGGATGAACTTCGTTTGTCAGCTCTTGTTCTATCATACTCACCCAAAAGTGAACAGGCTTGGAGCCACAGGTTATATCACTTATATATCTATTAATTTTATTTCATTTTTCTGTAAGCAAAGTATTTGGCATAAGTATCAGGTTTGTGTTCTTGAGACTACCTCTGTGACAAAAAGAATAGCATCAAGACTTGATGAGAAATACACAGTGCATCTTGCTTGTTCTAAATTGTCTGTTGCCCCCCTCCTCTGCTTCCTCTCTTTCCTTTTGACTTTTTTAATAGCTGTCCACCTAATTTATAAGTCTGAATATGTGATTTTTTTTTCTTTTTTTTAAATTAACTTTTTTATTTCATAATAAATTTAAGTGTAACAGCCATGCTAACTCATATATCAATTATTTTCAGGCGGTGGGTAATCAATATGATTTCTGGAAGATGCTCAACTCTGCAAGAGATAATTGAGAGAGAATCTGAGCTAGTGGAAAAAATTGCAGAGGTTTAAATTCAGTCCAGGAACTGAATACTATTATATTATGAAGGTTTATTAACTTTTCAAATTGGAGAGTTCTATTATTGCATATGTTGCATTTTAATTTTAATATCAAGAGTTAGCAGTTGCCTTGATTCGTTTGTCTCTAAGTAATGAGCCATATCAAATAGAGGTAATCTTTGGCTATTTGCAGCTGCCCACATATATTGGTAACTAAAGTAATGACATATGTCATACCTTGTTGTTGAAGTATTCAGTGTTGTAAGATGATTAAGATGATGAGGGAGAATGGGGGAAAAGGCGTCCTTAATCTAATTCTGAATTTTTTTTAAAAATTTTTGTAGAGTTCAAAAATGAACTATCGTGCTTGGAATCATCGTTGTTGGTTGGTTTCCTACATGACAAGAGAACAGGTAAAAGTCTGAGGTTGTTTTATTGCGAAGTCATATAATAGATACTTGTTTGTTAGCTTTTATATTCTCAAAAGGTTACTTCTCTTATAATTAGTAAATCTTTTTTATTTCCTATTATTTTCTAAAATTTCTTGTGCTTTCAGGTGCTACATGAATTGAAGAAATCCAGAAATTGGGCTGGGTTGCATGTTGCTGATAATTCTTGCTTTCATTATCGCAGAGTGAGTTCTTGTCTTACACATATGATCTGATGTTAAAATGTGAGTTCCATGCCCAAAGAGGAAACAGTTTGTTGGTTACCCAGTTAAAGACCAATGAGAATAACATTACTATAACATTTACTATGAACTTTTAGTTGCTGCGCTATTGGTTTTAAATTTATTTTTCCTCTTGACAATATCTAGATCCTAAGTGGATGCCCTTGGGTGCATACCAAATTATTGTGTTCTATGATATTCTTCATATAGAATTTTCATGTGGGAGGAATATAAATTGTTATGGCTTTTGCTCATGTTCATTAAGGAGGATGAAAGTCAGATCAGGACATAAGTTTTTAACAAAGAAGATGAACTTGCTTAAATTTAAGATATGAATGACTTAGAACGTGTCCCCATAAATTGAAGCATAAGCTAGGGCATGAATAATATGATAAAATTCTTCATGTCTCTTACAATCCAAATTTTCATTGATTTGCAGAGGTTAATGCTTATGAACTTAGAGGGTGTCTGCCACTCTCAAGAAAATGATTCTTCTGGTTACAATGTCAAAACTTATCGAGTCTGGAAGGTATAATAACTCAGGATTTATGTTCAATAGCAATTTTTATCAATTTTAATTATCTTACAATCTAGTGTGCTCTGTATGTGCATCTGTTTTGTGTGGGCACATTTTTGTTGTTGAAAGTTGATACCTTTTTAAATAAAGACTCCTTTTCATGAACAACACTATCCCTATATTGAGTAATCTCTTTTGATTTAAGGAAACATTTCGTTTTTGTTAACAGCTTCTGAGGTTAGGATCATAATTTAGTAACTGCAGAGTGCAGGCAGTAATGAAAATATGCAATTGCAACACTTGTGTGTATCCTAGTATTTCTCTTTACATTCCTTGAACAGAAAATGAGCCTGCCAGTTCAATTTTTTTTGCTGAATCCAATGATTTATTAAACAAATTCACCTTGCGGAAGTCCTAGTGCACCCAAAGGAAAAAAATATTTAACAGTTGATTCTTAACTGGTTTTTGGTTAAAACTTGTGTTGCTCCCTGCTTATACTCTATGCTAAAACTTTAGTTTGTTTAACCCCTTGATACTGTTGCTCTGACAGGAAGAGCTTGATTGGAATGAAGCTTTGATAAAGCGCTATGTTGGGAGAGAGGTGTGACACGCTTTGCTTCCTTCTATTTTCCTTTTACCCTTTTCAGAAAGAGGAGACAGGATCACTGGTTTTGACAACCAGAGACTTCATAATCGACTTCTAGATTTCATATTGTGAAGATTTGAAATGCCATAAGCTCTCATCATATTTTTTGTTTATGGTATAGGTACTCAAAATGAGAATACGACCTCCAGCTTCTACCACTATAGTCATCCAAATTGTGGCTTTATAACAGTGATATGTTGTGAACGTGTGGTTGAAAAAAAAAAAGGGTTTACTATATTGTCATTGTTAAGTTTCCTACATGCTGTGGTCTTAGGAATAATTGACTTTAAAAACAGCCTTGCATGATATAAGCGGTTAAAAAGATTTATGCAAATTTTAGAACTATATTAGTATTAACCTCTTCTAAACAGTAATGTGTTAAATATTGAGGCACTGGATTTACATGGTTTCATTTCTTATTGAATCAAATGCAACTTGTTTCTGGGTAGAAGACAGTTTCAGTGTTATAGATCTTAATTGTAGACTTGTATTTCACCACTCCTCTTGATGTATAAACTCTTCATTTGAAGTATTTGTCTTTCACAGGCTCTGTGGCTTCATCGCCGTTTCCTCTGCTTGTATTGGATAAGACATATTACAGCCAATCTCCTTGGCATCTCATGCCAGTCTGAACCAAAATCCAGTGTAGATAATGACATTGATAGCTTTTTGGACCATGAGCTTTGTCTCTTAGACTCCTGTTCTACTGTTCCTGATGATGACTTCGAGGATTTCCAAGCACAAGCAATACATTCTGCTACCTACATGTTGTGGTTAACCAAGGTAATACAAAATCTCCTTTTAGTATTGTTTGAAGAGGTCACCGGTCAGATGCTTAATCATTAGTTCTATGTGCATCAGCAAATCCCCAAGTCTCGGGGGATTGATCTTCAAGATAAGCTAGCAGACCTGACAAGACTGCTGAGCAAGGCTTGCCCAGAACGGTCTTCCCTGTGGGATTATTTGGTGGACAACCATTGTGAGCGAGAGAACTAGACCTTAGCAATTCATAAATATAGCAGTCCTTTTTTTGTTTTCCCTCTATGGAGAGATTGTTTTTATATTTTCATTTGTTGTAACTTATTTGTAACATATTGTTTGCTTACATGGATGAGCTTCCCGGTTGAATATGGTGTACACTGTGGATCATCTGCTAGTTATGAAATAAAGTAAACGACTTTTTCCCACCCAAGGTTTGCCTTAATAACACTTTTCCATTAAAAAAGTTTCAAAATATCACTTTCACACTCAAAGTTAATATTCTGTTACTACTCAAAACTGATTCCGATGGTAAAATTTTTTTCCATCACCACCATTTGAACATACGGTCTCTTCTCTACAAAACCCCTCTTACTTGGGTATCTGATTTCTTACCGATTATTGGCTATTGCAAAATTAGAGTTTTCTGTTCTTAGTTGATTTTTAGCTGATTCTGGTGGCAAATATTCAATCGCTTATCATCATTCGATCCATGACATTCACTATACAAAAACCCTTATATCTTGGTTCTTGGTAACTCGTTGAATACCAGTTGAGAAAGTGAATTGTATTTTGTATATAAACCAAATATAAACGTTGGGTTAAGAAAATGGTATTTTGAAACTTTTTAGGTGAAAAAGTGTCAGTTAAGGCAAACCATTGGGTGGGAAAAAGTCGTTTACTCTTATGAAATATTTTGTTCTCCCCATGAGGTCTTCAATGTGTTCCTTTCAAGTGTTCTCTGATTCAGTTCTTTTCATACTTATGAAGAGAAGTTAAAATTTGAAATTGTGGTAATTCCACCTGGAAACTGAACCCGCTGAGACAAAACTCTACCGAATCCAACGGACTCAAACTGAAGTTCTTGGAGCTTAGATTGTTGTCACACTCATTTTAGTCAAAAGCCAACTCAATTTTTTTTTTTTTTTTTTTTTTTTGGGTATCTAAAAGTGTTTGAGCTAACTTGTGCCGGTCTGAACTCGTTCTCTAAGATTTTGAAATTAACGATTTGGTAAGCCTCCAGTGGTTATCACTTATTAGTAGTCGTGAAGATTCGAATTCAAAACTTTTTGAGTAATACATTCAAGAGTCCTAAACGAACCGTCAAATTACTTAAAGGTAATTTAAAATTAACTATTAGATTAGCTTCCAATGATTACCTTTATTTACTAGTAGTAAAGCCAATTCACAAACTCTAAATGAATGAAATTAGCAGACTACAAAATAATTGAATTTTAATCTAAAATATAAAAATCCCATTTAATTAAAATGAAGTGAAATTCACTAATTATATAAAAATAAGATATTGACTAACAAAATTACAAAACCCAAATATAATTTACCCGGATAACAGAACATTCTGACCCGACCCGTTATCCATATATCTTGTGTGGTTCCTAATCCTTGAGGCATGTCTCAAAATCCAAAGTGGATTCTATGAACAACTCAAAAATACACTTCACTTCAACTTCAACCGCCAAATTTTCTTTGAGTTCTGGTTCTTATTTTCTCCATGCAAATTCTCAGGTACTTTTTCTCACTCTTCCATGAAAATTAAATGCCCAAAACTCTTTCAAAATGTCACTATTTTCAGCTGAACTTGTTCCTCACAACCTCCTCTTTACCACCCTACAACTGAAAGCCGCTTCACATTCACACCAAGGTACTTTAGTGAGTTGCGTAAACCCTAATCATAATGAAAAAAGTCCCAACTTTAGAAACCCACAAAGGGTCAGGGTTTCTGCTGAAACAAGACCAACCCATTTGTTGTCTTTTGATGTGAAAGAGACCCAGTTCATGAAACTTCTTAAGAGGTCCTTGAAGAAGGGAAAATATGATGAGTCACTCTACTTTCTTGAGTGTATGGTTATTAAAGGTTGTAAACCTGATGTTATTATTTGTACAAAGCTCATTAAAGGGTTGTTTCAGTCAAAAAAGAATGAAAAGGCTGTTAGGGTGATGGAAATTTTGGAAAAATATGGTGAACCTGATGTGTTTGCATATAATGCTTTGATTAGTGGTTTTTGTAAGGCTAATCAGATTGAATTTGCTAATAAAGTGCTTGATAGGTTGAGATGTAGAGGTCTTTCACCTGATGTTGTCACTTCTAATATAATGATTGGGAGTCTTTGTAGTAGAGGAAAGGTTGAGTCCGCTTTCAAGGTTTTTAATCAATTACTGAGAGATAATTGCAAGCCAACTGTGGTTACCTACACAATATTGATACAAGCCGTCATGCTTAAAGGTGAGAATGATAAAGCTACGGAGCTTTTGGATGAGATGCTATCAAGAGGGCTGAAGCCAGATATATTTACTTATAATGCAATTATTAGGGGAATGTGCAAGAAAGGCATGGTAGATCAAGCTTATGAGTTTATTAGGAGCTTAAAATCTAGAGGTTGTCAGCCACATGTTATATCATACAATCTATTGTTACGCGCACTTTTGAATGATGGGAAATGGGATGTAGGAGAGAAGCTAATGAGTGAAATGATTTCCACTGGTTGCGAGCCTAATGTTGTTACATATAGCATTTTGATTAGTTTACTCTGTCGTGATGGCAAAATCGAGGAGGCGGTGAATGTACTAAAGGTTGTTAAGGAAAAGGGATTAACTCCGGATGCTTATAGTTATGATCCAATAATTGCTGCATACTGCAAAGAGGGGAGATTGGATCTGGCTATTGAATACTTGAATTATATGATTTCTGATGGTTGCTTGCCAGATATAGTGAACTATAACACAATTTTGGCCACTCTCTGTAAACATGGCAATGTTCATCAGGCTTTGGAAATCTTTGACAAGTTGAGTGAAGTGGGTTGTCCTCCCAATGTGAGTTCTTACAACACAATGTTATGTTCATTGTGGAGTTCTGGGCATAAGATTAGGGCGTTAGGAATGATATCAGAGATGCTAAGCAAAGGGACTGAACCTGATGAGATTACTTACAATTCACTTATATCATGTTTGTGCAGAGAAGGATTGGTATATGAAGCTGTCGGGTTGTTGGTGGACATGGAAAGCACTAGGTTCCAGCCAACGGTTATTACTTATAATATCGTCATTCTTGGATTTTGCAAAGCTCGCAGAATCGATGATGCCATTGAAGTATTAGCAGCAATGGTTGCGAAGGGATGCAAGCCGAATGAAACCACTTATGTATTGTTAATACAAGGGATTGGTTTTGCTGGATGGCGAGCTGAAGCTATGGAGTTGGCCAACTCCCTTTTTACTATGCATGCTGTTTCTGAAGATTCTTTCAAACGTTTGAACAAAACCTTTCCTTTACTTGATGTGTACAATGAAATCACTTAATTGGATTCCAAGAACTAGCTTCTGTTGATCTATATTCACATATCTTTGGAATATACTGTTTTGGATATAGAATTACTCTGTCTTGCTTGACTGTCATCACTTCTGTTTCAAGGCAAAGAAGATTCTGACAAAAAAGATAAACAGAAGGCAAGTATGTTTGTCTCAATTAAAAGGGTTTTTCTATTGTAACAAAATATTCTACAACCCAAAAACCTTAACCTTTTCAGTGTCCAATCCCTAAATGACAATAAGAATATATTAATAGTAAGTTGGAACCTAGCTTGACAAGTTTTAAGGAGTGCATACACATAATTAAACCAAATGTGAATAAATTTGATACAAAAGTAGCTCCAAGAAGATTTCATTACAAAATCAAAGGTCGAGAAAGTAACTTCTGGGCAGGTTTTTGCTGTAGGCTAGTTCCTTGAGTTATTACAAGTCTAATACATCCATCTTTTCCCTTTCATCTCATTCAGTCAAGCTACAATCTCCTGCATCAGCCTCCTGCGCTTCATCTCTCGCTTCTGCAGTTGCATTAAAAATATGGGATAAAAATTAGTTCACAACCCAATCTTATAAACTTTCTCTTACAATTCTGACGTGACAGCTCGCAAATGGGTAGGTGAGTGAGACTCATAATGAGCAAACAAGACTTATTTATGAGCTGCCACATTGGGATTGTGAAAGAAAGTTTGTAAAATATGGTTGTAGCTTGTAAGTGTAGTATTACCTTAAAAATATGTTACTCTGCCTTGTATTTGTTGTTACATGACATCTGCTTGTTATCTCCAGTGATTTGTTATCCAGAGTTCAGAGAATGAAATCTGGGCTAAATTTGTGCTGAACAAGGACAGGATTCATAAAATTTTGCAGACAAATTTAGATAGTCATGATTCTAGCATTTCCATAGTGACTGTCAATATAGTCTTTATCTCAGAGATTACTCATTCAACATGAGCAATATAAGCATCAACTACTCATATCTGTAATATCCATCTAATCATTTGCAAAAGCAAAATAATAGTACAGCCGTTATGGCGTGTGCAGCCAGCACGATTTCTGTCATTACGTGCGACCTGCATATAAAGGGCCACGTCATTCTTTCTTCTCATTTGTAGCCTTTCTCAAAACACTCATTTGTTTCAACAATGGCTATGGCTTCTCTCACGAACCTTCACAGGAAGAAGATTACAGTCATGGCTTCTCCATACCGTCATCGTCACACTCCCACTTCTCTTTCTTTAGGCATTCGATCGCTAACCCAGAGCCGCTCTTTGAAACTTTCAACTCTTTGCTCAAGCTCAACCGCAGCTCCCTCTCAAATAACCCATGGACTCAAAAGTCTGTAAGAAAATTATAGATGAATTGAATCAACTTTTAATCAAACAATATGAATAGAGTTTAGTAATAATCAACAATATCCCAAAATCATAACACATAGATTATAGAATACATAATAAATAATAAAGGGTTATAGACAAACTTGTGTGTGCTATGATTTTTTATTATTGAATTCTTTACAGAAGAATCTGCGGGAAGCGACAGAAAGCATATAGATATTCCTTTCCAATAACGCATACACAAAATAACGACTATTGAATGGGTTTCAGTGAACAATCACTGGATATCGGAATAGTTTGATAGAGATTATTAAGTGTATTACTCAAAATATTTTAAGTTTAAATCACTCCTTGATTGCTAATATAGATAACTATTAGAGTTTTTATCTGACCGATAGTTTCAGGGTCTCGAAGGATTAGTTGAAATGCGTCTAAACTAACTCAAACACCTTTGATAATATAAAAAAAAAAAAAAATGGGTTTAGTGGTTTAAGGACCAATAAACTCTAAAACCCATTATAGGCCCAAGCTCACACTAATCATCACCCAGATTATTATGATAAGTAATGCTACAGTCATCGAAGTAGTGCATCGAATTCATGTACTGAATGACGTGATAAAATACTAACCGTTGATTAATTTTAACTTAATATTAATCGACGGTCAAGATTTTATCACATCATTCGGTGCATGAAATCAGTGACTGTATCTTTTCTGCATTATGATAAGGCGAATTGGGCAATTATGATCACATAAAAGCCCAATTATGATCACATAAAACCTATTAGTTTATCTCATTTGAACTATAGGTTTACCCGACTTTGAGTAAAACAAAATTATAATTAATGTTAGCTCACACCATGAAATTTTTTAACGAAGTCACCTCAAAACCATCTCTGAAAACCTGTGTTTCCCCACTGATATACTTACATAAATCAGGCGACCGTGGATTTTCAGAATTGAAATCAACAATTCTATTCCTTTTTGGCCAAGTAGATGTTTGTATTACGTGATGCACAAGTGCCAGCAAAATTTTTTTTTTTTTTTTTTTTTCTCGTTTTGATAATTGTATGGAAAATTTGAAATATAGTTCAAAATTAAATTTGATTGTTTCAATAAATACACTCAATACAAAAATCCCCAACACACGTTCTGCGGCAGGATCCACCTCAATATCATCAGCTTCCTCATCTGAACTAGACTTGGATGAGCTTCGTCCTCCGCTCGATGATCTGGATGATCTTGAAGAAAACGAACTTCCTCCCATCCGACCACCGGAGCGAGCCAGTGCCAAATCACCACCGTGCATCAACATCATGGACAACAAAGACACGATCATCACTTTTACAGCAATTTTCAACCACTTGAACGCTTTCACGACAGTGCTCTTAAAGGGTTCTTTTGTGGGGGATTTGAGTTTGTCAATTGCGGAGGGAAAACGGCTTTGTTTTTGCTACAAAAACTCCCAGTCGAGTTGGAGTTTGAGTCCAAAAAGCCATTAAAACAATTTCATTCTATAGCATTACTATTCATGCTTTAATGCAAATACAGTGTAATGCCGAGAAATAACGCACTCAAAGCATTTAAAAAGTGACAATTACACCCCCAGAACACTAATTTTTGTTTTTTTAAAACAGGTGTCCGGGTTAGCTTACACGTATCTCGATTAATCTTTAGGAGAGACTAACATAGCAACCTACTGCCACGGCCTCTTATTTAAATTACAGATGCTCATATAGGAAAATCAAACATGAAACTGTGTGCTTATCTACATTATTCTCAATTAGTCCTAATTATCTAGACAATGGTTTTCCAAATGTGTTAGTTTTTGTAGCAGTTAGTTTTGGACAATGTTTTGAAACTCGACCCAAGCAATGACTCAGTCAGGCAATTGGGTCCCGAGTCAAGTGATTGAAACGATCCGATCAACGGCTCAGACCGGTGACATCATATTGATGTTAGTATGACATCATAAATCCTAATAAAATTCCGTTTCATAATTCTTACTGTGCCGCCGTTTCTCAATTTTAGTTGAACAAAATGGCTATTGAAGAAAGTAAATAAGCAATGTGTAAAACCCTATGCTGCCGTTTCTAATTTTCTTCTCCTTTCCTACTCCACTCTCAAACCCATTTCTTAAAACCCTCGTTTTATCTCCGCTCCTCCTCTTCTTTCGCCATGGCGACCCCAAATCACCCCAAAGACGAAGATTATCTGAAGAACTTCATACCCAGACGAATTAGTCTTTTCCAATCCATTTAGTCACAACAATAAGCCCACATTCAGTCGCTACCTCACGACCCTATCGAGTTTGTTCTTCTTTCTTTATCTTTCCTTTTTCTTTTTAAAACAATAAAAGAGTATGAAGGTTATTGATGATTAGAGATTGAAGGATGCATGGAGAATCAGAGATTGAAGATGTATATGGTGTTTAGAGATTGAAGGATTGTTTTGATTTTTGGGTTTAAGTTTTTAATTGACCCAGTTTAGTCATCGAGCCAGCTGGACCGATGGTTTGGCACTATTCTATTAGTCTAAGTGGCTTAATCCGAGTTAAATGCAAATAACGATTTTTAGGGGTGCCTGAAGCGAAGTTGGGGTCGGTTTTTGGTTGAACCGACCAATCCAGTCCGGGTTTCAAAACAACGTTTTTTAGAAAGTTGGCTCTTGCGTTGAACCTTGTATTGCACTCTTGTATATATATTTGATTATTGAATGAAAAGTCTGTGCGGCCACACTTTTTCTCCTAAGTTCGTCCCTGTTTTCCTTCCACTTTATAATGCTTGTTCCTTCCTTAATCTTCTCTTCTAAAATTATAAAACTAATAAACACACCTAAGAATAATGAGAGTACCAACAAATCTGCCCAAACGTTTTTGAGCTGGATTAACTCAATACTATCTACTTCCTCATCTGAACTAGACTTCGATAATCTACTCGACGATCTTGAAGAAAACGAATGTCCACCCATCCTACTACCGGAGCGAGCCAGTGCCATATCACAACCATGCATGATCATCATGGACAACAGAGACAAAATCATCACTGTTGCAGGAATTTTTAACCACTTTAACGTTTTCACGATAGTGTTTTCAAACGGGCTCTGTTTTTTCTGCGTAATAATATGTCAAGTGAGTCCGAAAATATTCCCTTGCCATTAGAAAATTTAGCTCACAATGAGTCCGAAAATGTTCAAGCCATTTAAATGGAATGCATATCTCGACGTCGTGGAAAAGCAGCTAACATCATATTCCTCATCAAAACAAATGATTTAATTATGGATTTTGTGAAAGTGGCTGCTTCTGCAGATGGAACAATTGCAATTGCAAATGGGTGAATGGGCAAAAATTGAATAAAGATAGGGGAAAACACATTTTGAGAACGTATATTTTGTTAACCTTTCAGCAAAACACTGATATCAAGATTCCAGAAAGCATCTACTCAGATTGAAGTTTGCTTAAATACTTCTTCAATCTAATGTGGTACCTTCTTTAAGAACCTTCCATTCTATCAACTTTCGACACAACTTGCTAGCCTCTTCTGCCATTCCAGCTTCGGCTACACTTTTGAGTATAGTGGAATAGGTTGCTTCATCTGGCTTGGATCGACGTGAGATCATTAATTCTAGAACTTGTATTGCCATATCCAGCTTCTTACTTCTACATAATCCATGGATGATCATCTTGTAAGCACTATCTGTGATCCTATGGCCTCTTTTACCCATCTCCCTCAGTATCTCTACTGCTTCCTCAACTAGATCTGCCCGGCAAAAACCCCAAATCAAAGAACGATGAGTAATATCGTCGGGAATGATCCCATTCTGCATCATTTGACCATATAATCCGATTGCTTTCTCCATAGAACCCTTTTTAGCCAATCCATTAATCACAGTATTATAGGTGATCAAACTAGGAGAACAATAACTGCCGTTCAACAAGTGAAGTAATTGAAGAGCTTCATCTACCATTCCCTCTTTACAAAGAGCACCTAGGAGAGTATTATAAGTTACAATATCAGGCAAACAATTCTTGGAAACCATTTGATTATAAAGGTTGATGGCACGATCCAAAAGCCCATATTTACACAAACCATTGATCAAAATGTTAGAAGTGATCACTGTCGGATGATGAGAGGTTTCATTCATGATTGCAAGAATCTTATCTACTTCATCCCAACACCCACGGCTACTGAGAGAATGGAGGAGTGTGTTGTAAGTTACATCATTGGGCTCCAATCCACGAGAAAATACATTGTAAATGACCATAGCTATATCCTCATATTTCCCTTGTCTACAAGTGAAATTAACAAGCAAATTGTAGATAACAATATCAGGGTAACAGCCCTCAGTAGTCATATCTTCCAATACTTCCATAGCACGTACTGTTCCACAGTGCTTGCAGACTAACTCGATGAGAACAGTGTAGGTAATCAAATACGGAGGACATCCCTTTCTCAGCTGCTCTTTCCAAAACCCAATAGCCTGCTCAAATTTGCCATTATCAAACATGCTGCGAAGTATCGTGTTATAACTAATCACATCCGGTGCACAACCACTCAGGCTCATCTCGTCTAAGAGACTAATGGCAGATTTTATATGTCCTCTCCTACAGAGGCCACGAATCATCATATTGTATGTAATAATATCTGGAATCCCACCAGACATGACCATGATTTCAAGGACCTTGGAAGCTTCATCTATCCGATCAGATTTAACAAGGCCACGGATTAAATTTATGCAAGAACGAAAGTCAGGAATTTGATTACGACGTGCCATTAAACCAATCAACCTTGTTGCCTCAGTTAACTTCCCACTGATGCGTAGATTGTGAAGGATTTTATTGTTGGTTTCTTCATCATTTGTAACAAAGGGCCCATCTGAAGATGACAATGAAGAATTTTGAGGCTTTCTTGTAATCATCTTCCCTTTGATATTTTTATTAGCACCCAATACATCACTTTCTGAGCTCCATTCTTCTCGGTCAACTTCATTAACTCTGTCAATGTAAACACTTCCAGGCAGTCCTTGGCACTTTAAATAGAACATGTTTCTTTCTGCCACAAGATCTCCTCCCCGTAGAAAACAAGATCGATTTTTGTAATCACACTTAATAGAACAATTTAAGTGAATAGAAGATCCATTCATAGTTGAAAAGTGACCAATTCCACATTTCAGGTCAACTTGTTTCAAGCTATGCAAACAATGAACCTCAACTCTAGAATTTGGTGGAACAATTGCATAGTCCATCTCCACTGCCCACTTGACAAATGAATTCTAACAAATTACTAAGCAGTACTTAACATGTTTAGTAACCCAAAATTTATCACAGCTAAAACCCGTTTCTCATCAAAAATAAAAATGATGAGTGTTTATGTTCTTATTACCTACTTTCCACCTATCCTTAAGAGTATCCAGTGATCATTGTTCAGCTTCCTCCCCTTCTAAACGAGATGACCAGTCTACCTGTCAGAGTTCAGGCCAACAACATTAACCAAGAAAATTCCCTAAGAGTTATTCTAAAAAAAATTAATTAAAAAAAAACTGACAACATGGACCAGAAACATCTAGCCAAACTACATATGTAACAAACTGCAGATGGTTAATTCACGGAAATCTGATTAAAGTAGAAATCACAATCGGATGCCCACTTCAAACTGCAGATTGTTAGTCACTAAGTTCTTGACACCAAACAATTTCAAATTTCCATTTCGGAAAATTACGATCGGATGCCCACTTCAAATTTAAATAAAAGTAATACAACAATTGAGCAACAGACAGCAACCAAGAGAGTCTCTAGAGCTCGAAGTTCAATTCTCAGAAATCCCAACAAATATGTGTCACTAATTTCCTACAAATATGTACCCTTTAATCCTACAGATATAACACGTCTGAAACTAGCAAACATCAAAACCAAGTTTAAATAATACAAATACACTACAAATGAATCATAAGAAGCCGACTAAAAGACAGCAACCCTTCATCTCCAAGTTTTTAAAATATGCAATCTATTCAAAAAATTAAAATTCTAAAACATTTAATCTTCAGTATGCAGGAAAATAACATTATAATCAATATTTTTTTATAATTACTCTACTCTCATAATATAACAAATTTCTAGCAATTGCAACTGAACCGTATCTATTTCATATTCAACCAGAATAAAATCCAGCATACGTACATAGACAAAGCAATTTTCTATAACATCAAATCCTAGAACCCTATTTCCAAAGAAAACTGATTCAGTAAATAGCATACAAGTGTTTAAATCACAGCTGGGAGTAATTAAGGAACAGAGAATTGTATAGACAAAAGAACACGCTAAAACCCTGAACCCTAATGATTATAATTAAGGTGAAACATTGAGAAAAGGTCTTGAACTGAATTGAATTACCAGGTCAAAGGATAGAAGAAAGTCCTATTTAGCGGTTTTGAATGGAACTTTGTGTTCTTGTTCAGTTGCTTCTGTTGTAGTGTTGTCAAATGAATGACGTTGAAACCTAGGGTTCCCGGTTACTTGAAATTTCAACTCGGTGCTATTTTCAAATGAAATTTCCTTTTCATATTCAAACGAACGACTTAGTCCTTACGCATACCCAAGGTTTGCCGAAACAATAAGTTGATACCCAAAAGATTTTAAAACGACAAATAGGTACCTTCTGTCATGTACTGTTAGTGATTTCTATTTGTTTATAGTGAAAAGACTAAAATGCCCTTAAAAGTTTGATATTTTAGTTTTTTATAAATTTAAAAATTTATAAAAAACCCCCTAGGTTTGCTAATTTAACTAAACACCCCTATATATAAAAAGTTTGTTAAATAACAAAAACACCCCCACCACCCGTAGTGCCAGATTCTGGCCACCACCGTCGGAAACTGACCGAAAAATTGCGTTACGACACAAACCTGTCGGATCTGTGTCGTAACGTATCGATCTGGCCTTTTCCGATCAGATATATGGCTAGATATGGCCGTCGTGGCCGCAAAACTCCATTTGCGGCCTCAACGGCTAGATCTGGCCGAAAAAGGCCAGATCGATGCGTTACGACACAGATCCGACGGGGTCTGTGTCGTAACGTAATTTTCGGCCAGATTCCGACGGTGGTGGCCGGAATTTGGCACTGCGGGTGGTGGGGATGTTTTTGTCATTTAACAAACTTTTTATATATGGGGGTGTTTAGTTAAATTAGCAAACCTATGGGGTTTTTAAGAAATTTATAAAAAACTAAAATATCAAACTTTAAGGGCATTTTAGTCTTTTTACTGTTAACAAACAGAAATCACTAACAGCATATGACGGAAGGTACCTGTTTGTCATTTCAAAACTTTTTGGGTACCAACTTGTCTTTACGGCAAACCTTGGGTATGCACAAGTCGTTTGACCTTACTTGAAATTTCAACTCGGTGCTATTTTCAAATGAAATTTCCTTTTGATACCCAAAAATGAAAATTATATGTTAGTCCTTCATTTTGTGCCGTCTTGATTCTTGCATTAGGTTAATGGCTTGGTCTCACTCTCATCTCTAATTGGGTCCTTGAGAGAAGGTAACATTTGACTTTAATGATGGATAATGTTTTAATGACATTTTCCCTAAAAGACTTTTAAAATATCATTTTACCACAAAACACAATTTTAATAGTAAATTTTGTTGTGAATAAAGGTAGAATGGTCAAGAGTCTGTTATAGAAAAAGGTAGGATGTTTAATTAACACGTCAAATTTCTGTTACCCACGCCCACCACAACATTCTCCACCATCCTAGCAACAAAACCTCACTCTTTTCCCTCGCCAACAGCTGCCGTTCGCTAGCCATAGTAGTTGCATTACGCAACTGTTCTTCGTCAGCTTGGCGAAATTCGGCATCATTGAGCCTTCCCACCACCACCACAACATTCTCCACCTTCGCCCGTTTTCCCTTGATAGTAGCCGCCGTTCGCTAGCCACAACAGCCGCATTGCGCGACTGTCCTTCACGGGATTTCGGCAAAATCTAGCTACAACAACCCCTCCCACCTCCACCCCTTGACTCACTGGCTTTTGCCCTTTAAAAGCTCTATACTCCCCACACCAATTGAACCATGATCGCTACCGCCTCCTGCCTAGTTGTTGTTGTTTTTTTTTTTTTTTTGTGATTTTCTTCAATTCGATCGAAATTATTAGTCGAAAATCCTTCCCGTCACCACCTATCGAACCATCGACGTCCCCCCTACTAAATCCCTATCACTCCCGACCTCGGTTACTTGCCCATTGCCGTCCACCACACACATGCAATAAACCAATAATTAACAAGTGGGGGTATTTTCGTCTTCACAATTAATATTATTGTATTTAACGGAAACTAGTAACAGAATATAACATTTGGGTAGTAAAGTGGTATTTTAAAAGGTTATGGGTGGAAAAGTGTCGTTAGATCATTATTTGAGTGGGAAAAAGTAGTTTACTCTAACAAATTTTATTGAGAATTAACTTATCAAATGATTTTATTAATTAAATTCTTGTTTTAGAAATATTAAAAAGTTAACCAGCTGCTAATAGGGGTGGCCATTAGACCTCTTACTCAGTCGGTAGTTCCAAGGTTTACGAGATTAGATGAGATACGTTTAAGTTAGCCTGAACACCCCGGTCAGAAATAAAAAATAAAAAATAAATAAAATTAAAAAGTTTCTTAATTAATATAAAATTATATATGTAATAAAAAAAAATATTAAAAAGTTTCTAATTAATATAAATTTATATATACAGTAGAACCTTTATATAATGATATTCTATATAAGAATAACCTCCATATAGTCATAAAAAATTGTATGAATTGGTTGATGATTGTATGAGTTGTGTTATAGTACAATGTATTTATAGAAGTTATATTGAAAGAGAAACATTATAGAGAATGCAAATTTTTAGACTTTTAAGATGACTTTGCATATTCGTGATAATACAAAGATTCATATACTAGTTTTTTGAAACTATGTCTATCTCTTTCATCAATGTCTATACCTTAGATTTGACATACACTCTTAGGCTCCGTTTGGTTAACTTTTTTACACTTTTTAGAAAAGTTTTTTAAAAAAAGTTAAAAAAAATTGAATTGGGCGGGTATTACGATGTATGATTTAGAAATTAATAAAAATACCCCCATGTTTGTCTATTTACTAAACACCCCTATAATAAAACATTAAAAGTAAACAAAAACACCCCCAATTCACCCATTAAATATGGACAATTGGACACCACCGCCGGAGGGTGGCCGGAGTCACTGTATCAGCCAGATTCACGGTGGATTTGGCCGTATTTGCTCATCAACGACGGCTAAAGATACGGCCGTCGTTGATGGTCAATGACGACATGTTTTGGCCATCGTTGTTGACTGATTACGGCCAAAGATCTGGCCGTCAATGGTCAGATCTTTGGCCTTATATCTGGCATTTTCCGATGAATCTGGCCAGAAAAGACTAGATCGGCGCACTATCGGCCAGATTCAATAGGTAGTGCGCCATTATACCAGATTCCGGCCATTTTCCAGCGGTGGTGGCCAGAATTTGGTAAATATGGGTTGTTGTGGTTTTTTTGTAATTTCGAAAAAAATATTTATAAGTATTTAATTAAATTAACAAATTTAGGGGGTTTAAAAAAAATTGAATAATATTGTGAGTTTTTGCAATTTTACTATTTAACTTTATTGAGAATACTAATAGTAGTATTCCCAAATGTGAGCCAAACGAAGCCTTAGTTAATGGGAGAACGATTTTTTCCCACCCAAGGTTTGACAAAAGTGTTAGAAAAATCCGTTACTATTTGGTTGTAAAGACAAAAATGTCCTTTATCATTTGATTTAATATTTTTCTTATTATTTTGTGTCATGTTAACAGATTCAATTACCTATATACACACTCTTCCAATATAAAATTACTTATATGCCCTTTACAATATACAAATATAGATTACCAATTTATCCCTCCAATTTTTTTTTTTTTTTTTTTTTTTTTCACAAACTCAAAAAACACAAGATCTACCAACTTTCAAGTTTCAACAAACCCATTAAAATTTTCAAATACGCGGAATTACTATCAGAACATCCATAACACTATCAATTACAAGAACAAAACTCTCACCAACTGCTTCATCACTCTATTTTAGTATCCATGCACAAACGGACATGTAGGAAAATACAAACACAAATAACCTCGCACTTTTATTCTTATCAAAGGTTAAAATACTTCAACCAAGCTTAGTAGATTGAATATTTACACCACAGAACAAAAATTTGAGAATAGTAACTGCAACTTAACAATACAGTGGGCGCTGGGTGGGTTTTTTTGTCGAACGGTAGTGGGCGACTTGGCAAGGTAACTATGTGAAGGGGTTGGAAATCGCCCAAATGCTACACAAAGTAAAAATAAAAACAACACTTCAAAACCAAATTAAACTCCACCAAATCAACAAAACAATCCACTT